GAACTTATAATTTAAATCTTCCTTAATCATTACTATTTTTAGTCTGTACCTCTTGTGCAATAATGCATTCTTTCACCTCATCATAGTCTATAGAAGTACTGATAGTTCTTTAATTTTATTTAATTTTAAATTTAAAATTCCAAGGGGCCAGGACAGTGGCTCACAACGGTAATCCTAGCACTCTGTGAGGCTGAGACAGGAGGATCATTTCAGACCAGGAATTCAAGACCAGCCTGGGCAACATGCAAGACCCCATCTCTACAAAAGTAGAAAAATTAGCTAGACATGGTGGTACATGCATATAATCCCAGCTGCTTGGGAGGATGAGGCAAGAGGATCATCTGAGCCCAAGAGTGTGAAACTGCAGTGACCTGTGATGATGCTATTGCAATCGGGGCAACAGTGAGACACTGTCTCAAAAAAAAATTATATATTGGCCAGATGTGATGGCTCATACCTATAATCCTAGCACTTTGGGAGGCCAAGGCAGGTGAATTGCTCAAGCTGAGGAGATTCAAGACTAGCCTTAACAAGAATGAGACCATCTCTACTGGATAAAAAAGTAGAAAAACTAGCTGGGCATAGTGGTACAGGCCTATAAGGCATGCTACTTGGGAGGGTGAGGCAAGAGGATTGCTCAGGCCCTAGGGTTTGAGGTTACTATGAGCTATGAGTCCACAGCACTCTACCCAGGGCAACAGAGTGAGACTCTGTCTCAAAAATAAAGAAACAACCAAATATATGAAACCATAAAAGAGTACCACAAGGTTTTATGGTTTCCCTCAGTAGCCCTTAGAGCTAATGAGTAAATATTTTCATGGGAAAGATTTATCATGACTGCCTGATCCAATTCCTATATGTAATACAAAGCCTGAAACATCATTATAGGAAATATGAGATTATTCCTGCATGACATACCTCTACGTATTATTAGTTTGAGTTAGTTGCTCCCTTATGTTCTTCCCTAACCATGTTCATACCCCTGTGACAGATATGTATGTCCCATTATGCACCGATAAAGGTTATCACATTATACTATCATATTATGTAGTAGCTATATGTAATTGTTTCTACCACTAGATTTTGAGAACCTTGAGGCAACAACTCTATTTTGTCTATCTTTACATATGCCCAAGTTTTAATCCAGTAGCAGGCATCCAGTTACTCAATAAATTCCTGGTAACTTATTGGATAAAATACACATGGTTAACACAGGAAGGAACAAGTCAGGCAACTAGCCAAGGAGAACGGAGGCGAAGAGAATACCACAGCAGGCATGGTAACCAATTTTCTGGTTCTGTCCATGTTCTTTCTTGGATAGACTGATTCCCAGGAATCAGTGGGCCTGACTTTCCCTGCCCTCTGGGTCATAGTTGATTAGACCAGGAGTTCATATTTAACTCACACTGAGCGAATCAGATTCTCTCTCCCAAGAATTTGGAAAGAATACATAAAATCTCTGGTTGGTATCTGTTGGAAGCCTAAATGGAGAGTGATATAAAGAAGGGCTGAATCAGTAAGGTAGGCTCTGTGAACAAAGAGGGCAGATACAGCCAACCTAAGGGAGAGAAGAGTGAAACAGATGCAGAGAGAAGGATGGTATAGAACAGTTTAATATCAGACACAGAAAAGGGCAAATAGAATAGCTGTCTTGACCCTGGCTAGCTGCCCAATTCTAGGTTCCAGTCCCTTGTGAGATCTGGTTCCTTTTTCTACTCTTAGGTTATTTCTAAGAGTAGAAAAATAGATATCCTATATCTGTTTAATCAGAACCCCCTTTGCTTTTGCTGGCATAAGTGAATTCTGTTTCTGGCAACCAATCATCAACCAGACTAAGATTATCACCACCAGAATTATGTTCATTAGGACAAATTCTTATTCAGTACTCTAAACAACAGGATAGACCTACTCATTATGCCACAAGTCAATACATAAACACCACCACTAGAAGCAGCATCTTGCTTAAAACTTGAACAAGGTGACATACCCTTTGCTGAATTTCTTGAATGGTGGCCTTATGACGCTACGACTCTTCACAACACAGTGGCGTCCAACTCTTACGTTTGCCAGATCCCCTCGGATAATACAGTCATTCATCACAATGGTCTACAAAACAAAGCAAATATTTAAAAATTACCAACATAGCCTAAAACATAACAATAAAAAAGGGAAGATAACAAGATACCGATTAAAAGTTATATAATCCACTGTATCAAATGTTCTGTCAAAAAGATAACTTCATAGGTAAAAAGAGAACTACCCTCATGATAATGATTACATTAGAGATGTTTCCAGTACATTACAAGTCTTTCCCTTAATACTACACGACTAGGACTCACTGAATGATCAATTATTGAAAACAACTATAGCAGATCCAGTTTACACATCTATTTAAATTACTCAGGTCTATTTGCTCCCTTAAGCCTTGGCTCCTTGCTCACTGAGAATCCTGGCTGCTCTTACCTTTGCCTTACCTCTTCATACCACCAACTATCTTCATGCTTCTAGAGTTGGATCCATTGAAGTTTTGATTCATATCATAATCTTTACATTCAGAATAAGCACTACACTGCAAGATGTAACATCTGACTTTCCTAGAGACTGCCCAGAGGGTCTGAGTATCACAACCCAAAAATCTAGGGTATTAATGCCTCATACTTGGTAAAGAAATAGGCATCCTTGAAATATCTGCTGAATAAATGAATGGGGTAAAAAAGTGCATATGGTTAGAGCTACAGTTGGAAAAGTAAGCAAGGGACATATAAACAGGTGATAAGAATTATTATACCTGCTAAGCATAGAAGCTTAGGTCCATAGAAGGACCTAAAGAATCAATGAAATATTTTAAACAAATGATTAATACAAATTTTAATTTTAGAAATACTATTCAGGAAACAACCTGATGTCTGAATGGAGAATACAGGTAAGACTAGAGAAAAAAATGACCCTTTAGATGACTGCAGTGGATCAGGGAAATAGATAATATCTATTCTTATATACCTTAATACCTTATCTAAGACAATAGCTGTGTATATAGAAAACACAATAAATAAATAAATGAGGCTCGGTGCCTGTGGCTCAAGTGGCTAAGGCGCCAGCCACATACACCTAAGGTGGTGGGTTCAAATCCAGCCCGGCCTGCCAAACAACAATGACGGCTGCAACCAAAAAATAGCCAGGCGTTGTGGCGGGCGCCTGTAGTCCCAGCTACTTGGGAGGC